GGATATGGATCAGCAAGTTATCTTGAGTAAGTGATTGATTTTGCTATCTCCAGCTCTGAAAAACCAGTGTGAACTGTAAGACTGTATAAAAAAATCTAATAATTTTCTGACAAATTGTAATTGAGTAATTGTCATTTCTGACAAATAGCATAAAATTTTAAGAACCTGTAAGATGCAGATCCATAAAATATTCTGGTATATATGGTGTTTCTTATGTTCTTGGGGACTTCTTATTGAGATTGAAAGATTGAAAGACCTTCTACATTTCACTGAAAATGCAGTTATATAGGAAATTATATTTTTAACAATATTCTGATGGCATGTAATGAAATCTTGTCTATATAATGTGGACAGAGCTATATATTACGTGCTTGAGATGACCTGGGTACAGAAATATGGATGAGAGAAGAAAGAGAAGAAAAGAGGAAAGTTATTTTTCAAAAATATAAGTTGTATTTTTGAAGTTATATTTTCATTTCCATTAGAGCAATAGATAGCTGTTGAGGTCTGGAAAAGATTGTCAGTGCTTACCTGAGGTAGTCAGCTTCCCTTAAAGGAGAAATTATTATATTCATGAAACCATCTTTTTTTTACAGATAATCTCTCAAATTATTATCTTGTCTCAGTCTCCAGATTTGGAGATTTATTTTTCTTAATACTATGGGGAGCCAACTCAAGCAATATGTGGAGTACTCCAGCCCATAATCTCAGCCAATTTGGTTTCACATCTGGATATGGTACCCAAACACTGTTGATTCGGTTGGTAGAAAAATCTCTCTTCACTCAGCATGCAGCCTGTAAAGCTGTTGAAGCAATTGCAGATGCTGTAGAAAGACTGTTGTTTTCTGTCTGAGAGATCTAGGGGATGGATTCATAGAGCTGAAGGTCAGAAGGGACCATTAACTCTATCTGTTCTGATCTCTTGTATATCACAGTTCATCAAGTAACCTCTATGTTGAGCCCAATAACTTGCCTGACTAAAGCAAAACCTGAGTTTTGGTTAAAGCATATCTTCAAGAAAAGCATTCGGTCTTGATACGAATACAGGAAAAGGAGAGAATTCTCCATAGACTAATCCTCCATAGGAAGTCCATTGTGTCATGTCTTTCTTTGGTGAGTCCCACTGTAGTTAGTTCCCTCACTGTCAAAAACATATAACTTATTTATTATTTGAATTTTTCTGGTTTTTATAACCTTGAATAATTTTGGGGGCTCTTTTCTGCACCCTCTCTGGTTTTCCAAAAGGATAGCATCTGTGGCCTCTGACAGATGGTACTTTCATCAAACAACAGGCAGTACTATTCAATAGAGACTGTCATGCCACGTGAACTGCTTCATGTTCATAGGAGAGGTGCTGGCAGGGGCTATCATTATTCTCTACAGCTGTGCTATGAATGAAACGTAAGCTGGGCAAGCAGGCCCTCCCAGGCTAGGACTCTGCCAGCCTGCAAGGGAAAAGCCATGGATTCCCATGTTTTTCTCTTTTAAAGAAGAATCCATACTTAAAGTTTGTTGATTCATTTTTTTAAAGTTTGTTCATGACCCTTTCATATATTCTTGGGACCCACTTTTGGGTCACGACCCACAGGTTAAGAAACACTGCCCTAATAGAAGACCACAGCTGAAGAGCACTGTGATCATGCACCAAAATAACCCCCATTGTATGAGGGTTCAAATGAAGGTGCCCCACAGTAGAGCACGTTCATTAACTTGTCTGCTCCTGTGGCAGCCCTGCTCCCAGTGCTGTCTCAGGATGGAGGAGAGGGAGCTTGGGCTGGGGTTATCTGAGGTGGGGGGCTCCAATCCACCCCCCCCATTCCAGCACAGACTGGGCAAACATCAGTCTGAGCTCCTTGTCCTCCATTCTCCCCACTCCCATCCTGAGACAGCACCGGAGCTGGGAATAGGGAGGCAGGACTAGGGGAAGAGGCTACCAGCACACGACCTGTCTCTCTGTATTAGCTCCAAATTGGTGCTCAATCTCTCACCTTCCTGACCCAACAACTAATGTCTGTTGGGTTGGGAGGATTGGTTTAACTCATGGTGCTCTGTGAAGGCTATGAGTTAGACCAGGGAGCTGCACTTCTGTCTGCGTCTAGAGTCCCCCTACAGGAAGCAGGGGGTGTGAAGGACAGGGAGAGAGAGTAGGCTACTCTGGGAAACTGGAGGACAAAGCTAAACACTGTCGCCCTGCGTGTGAACTGTCACAGGTTCAAATTAAAGCTTGATAGAAGCAAGCTATGAAAATGTTCTACGTTCTGTGGCTCATTGGCCATTTTTATGACCCAGCCATTTTTACTGGGTGATAGTTACTTTGCATGTGTAGCATGTCTAAATTTATTGTGCAATTAACGAGTTGCTAATTGTAGCAATTAACTACTAACAATTAACCAGCATCAGGGGCCTTGATACACCCCAAAATAGCCTATAATCTTGCTTAGAAGGCAGAGTAGAGATGCACCTTATAATCTAACTAAGTCAGAGATGTATGTGCTTTTTTGAGCCTGAACTCAACCCGGAAATACCATGGTGAAAAAACTTTGGGGAGACCTTCTGTTAGTGCTCCCAAGGTGTTAGTCTTTAGTGTGCTTGAGAACAGCCAAAGATGGTCCGGGGCATCTTCACCAAGATATCTTTGGGTTTGGAGTGTGGCTGTAGGAACAGGTGGGCCAGGATATACTCAGGACATTTTAGTTGAAACACACTACTACTACAGTATAGACATGCCTGACCATCCGAACTCCTTGGCTATTGACTAAAAAAAAAAGAACCTTGTGCTTCATGATTGTAGGCCTTTAGTGCCTTTTATTAATTAAATATTTCAACTTGAAACAAGAATTTTTATTTTTGTCAGTTTGGTGAGAGCAAAAAATATTATGGGGCAATCTGAACTGAATTTTTTTTACATTTTATTTTGCATCCAAGTCAAACTAATAATTTATTGAAAAAAGGGTCAATCTCTGTTTTTTAAAAAGGTAGTTCAGTAAAAGGCTAGGAAAAAGATAAACAAAGTAATGTGTGAAATCTGGTACTTGAGTCTGAAAGTTAGGTCTGTCAGAGACTTGTTTTTCTATAAGGCTATTTATATCTGTGTGGGCCATATCTCAGAGAATGTAACGTGTAGAAACCTAATTGTATGTGTACATAGCTAGAAAAAACTAGTTTGAAAGATGGGTTTAATGTTGCATATCCAACCTGATAAGGCAGGGTGGGGTGGCAGGGAGGGAGTCATTAATCTCTTCTGGACTTAGTAGTTAATCTTGACTGGACATGAGTACACTAGGGCAGGGACGTACTTTTTTAAAGTATGTAAGATCTTTTTTGCCTGTATTTAAGTTTGAAAAGCCTGCCTAGAAAATAAATGCAAGATCTAACCAAGCTAAAAAATAATTTCTTTTGTTTTTATTCAGTTTCCCTGTTTTTAATAAGTAAAATTTAATTAAGATTATTTGTCTATGGTAATTCTAGACAGATATCCCTAAGGAGGAGAAAACTCTATTTTTTCAGTTTTTCAGAGCTGCTTCAGAGTTTCTAGAACCTTAATACTCATGGTCAATGCCTATGAGAGGCCTATACAAAATTATCCTATGATGTCCTCCCATTACTTCTGCCTTCCCAGGGGATGGACACAGAGGGTGCATCCAGACAAGCAGGAACTTGTGCTTCCCCAAGGAAAAGTAACAGCGGCACACCTTGCGCTGCTGCTCCTTGTCCCTGGGGAACGCCTGTGCCATGTATGCTCTAGGCGTGCTGCAAGGTACCCCAGATGGCGTAAGGGAGGCTGGGGCCAGGAACTGTGCTAGCTCCAGCAGCCTTACTTGGGGTCTTGGGGGCCTCTGGGAGGTGCAGCTGTGGCACTCCTGCAGCAGAAATCCTGACTAGCAGCTGGAGCATAGCTCCAGCTGGCCAGGCTCTGGGTTTGGGCAGTATGCACTGCTGCCACTTGAGCTGCCCTGCCCTGTTTTTTTTTGGCTTGGCTCTTTTTGACCGTAGGATCTCTGGGGTTCAGAAAAACCCTCCTGCACTGCAGAGTAGCAGGGCAGGGAACGCTTGCATGCTCAGCATCTACAGTGTCACAAATCACACCTCAACACTTGTCTGGACGTGCCACTGAGGCTAACGGACAAAATAGGCTATCAGAGTTGATAGGGACATCGGTTATAGGTAGGCTGGAAAAAGGATATTTAAAAGTATCTGAAGGTGTTGCCTGTCTCAGAGTTAGAGCAGATTTAACAATACACTTTGCCAAAATATTCAATTAATAATTTACAAATAATATGTTTTTTCTTATTTTTTGACCAAATGAATAGCCCGAGGATAAGCTAAAATATTGCAGGTTTTTTGAGTAAAAAAAATTTCTAAAATACCAAATTTCCTATGTATCTTGTTCTTTTTAAGTCTTCCAGAAGCATTTAAGTTTTCACTCCTGCACTGAACTCCTAGCACACAGCCTTTAGGATTATATTAAGCATGTTACAGTATCATGACTTGATAATGTAATCCCTCATGTACTGTCCACTACTTTGAGGACACTAAAAAAACTACTCCTTTTCAGTCAGTTGAAAATATTGGTTTAGAGGTATTAATGTGTTATGGAACCTTTTAAACATACCTTTTTAACCCTTGGGTTTACTTTTTCATTTGGGTGACTTAGTAAAAATGTAAAGGTAATGCTTATTTTAATGTACTATGTCTATTCTGGTTCTAGATGCTAAAAAAATATTCATGTATAAGGCTATTTTTGAAGCATTTTTAGTACATTCAGTTTTGGGTTTGTTTGTTTTTTTAAATGTACTATTTTTGGCACAAAAGTGACCACTTTGGAATGAATGTTCTTGCCTCTGATTTAGAATGATGTTTATTCAAGGTCATTACAGTTATTGCTGAGTAGAGACAAATTAACACAGAGGTCAGTAATTACATTACAAATGTATGTGTTAATCAAATGGAAATGCTTATGAGGGGAATTCAAAAGAACCTTTAAAAGTGATGTGTGAAACCAGGATAGAATTTTGAAAGAGCAGCCTTAAAAATTGATGGCCTTTTTTTTCATTCTTTTGAAAAAACACATACTTTAGCACATACATTATGTATTATTATTTCTGATTAGTCAATAAATTTTATAGAAAGACATGCTACATACTTAGCGTAAATTAAAAAAAAAGGTAGAAAGTAATTTTACAAAAAAACCTGTTTAATTTATAGTAACTTTAGTAGATAAAATAGCATGCTGAGCCCTGGTCTTCTCCTACACCTGATCATAATTCCCCTGGAGTATTGACATACAGAAATGTGCTGGGAAAAGTAATGTTGTCAACAAGTGCTAAAGGTGCTCCAGCTAATAATATCACTTTGTCATCTAAAACTTGCTGGATTCCTCTCATGAATGGCATGCAGCGCTAATACAAATTTTTCTGTTCTGTTTAGTGAAGACAGATAAAAGACATGAGATAACTAAAATGTGGGGTACTTGAATTAAAAGTCAGGCTATGTAATACTATACAGAAAATGATATCAAGACACAACTGTTCCTAAGCAATTACAAATCATATTATGGTCTCTGCATTTTAACCCCTGGACTACCAGTAATTGAAGTCATTTCCATATAGCTCAGTTGTTCCAATCAACTCAACACCCATCAAAATCATTCATTTTATATGGTGATGAGAGCAAATGAGTTGACATGGCAGATTTAGAATATATTTTCTGTGATAGCCACTATCTATTTGTAGAGTGGATACAGACTAGTGCTATGACACATCAGTCTAGAGGAGGGGTGGCCAGCCTGAAACAGGAGTGCCATACATGACATAGGCAGCTTCTGTGTGTGGCATGCTACAGACAAATGAAAATTTCTTTAAGATAATGTGAATAAACGATATTAAGTATGCACAGTTATGTATTTAAAATCAAGAATGGGTTAAGAGTAATTGCACAATAAAAAAGTACATGATTTGTCTGTTTATAGGAAACAGATGTCTGTGTGTTATAGGAAATTTGATAGAATACTGTATTTTTAGTGGTAGTATATCAAAATGTATATGCAGGAGAACATCTAAATTAGGCTGTGAATGCAGCCTTAACTTGTCTATTATGTGCTTAATGTGTAACCCTGGGCATACAATATGTTTATACTTATATAATGAATCTTTACACCAAATAAAAAAGAAGCAGACACATGACATACACCTTATGTTAATGTAAATTACTTAAATCTGGTCTAGAAATACTGTATTCAGGGAGATAATTATACCAATATATGTATCCTGCATCCCTAGCTTAGCTCAAGATAGCTTAAGGCAGGCAGACCTACTTCCCTCTAGCAAGTGGCAAAACAGTAGAATAGCATTAACTGTGCACATCTCTGTGGGGCAGGTGGTCATGTGATTACTTTGGATCCTGTTGTAATTTATGGAAGTGTATAAAACCGATGTAAATTATGACAATGTAAAAGTATCATGAGTACAGGCCCCAGACTACTCTGAATATCAAGTTCTGTGTGAAAAAATACCATAGTTAAAATATATCATATTGGAGCATTTTGCATTGATTAAACCTTTCATTTTTTGAAGATATTGATGAACATTTTCTTTACTGATTTAAACTGGATTTGACTGACTGTGATAAATATTAAAACTGTTTTCAGTTGTTTCTTCCCTCCCTAAAGTAAACGAATGACATGAATGTTTAAACAAAATATGAGATTAATGTTTGATGGATAACTCAGGTTTAAATATCTTAACCATTTGCAAAGGCCCAATTCATCAGTAATGGGGAATTCTAATTTCATCCATGTCAAATATCTTCCCATTTCTTTTGAAATGCAAACCCTGTTGATTATCTTAGTTTTTGCATTCAGGTGATATTCCAGTGTCTGTTTTTCTAAGGTGGTTTGAAATGAGAATGATAAGAGTGGCTTCACTTTAGGTAGAACATCATGATTGATGCTATATCAGGAAGAACATGGAGTTCCCAAATGACTTTAATAGTGTCTATTTCTTTGTGGACTTTCTTTTCATTTTCTTAAAACAATGAGAACATTACTGATTGTATAACCTTATCCCCTTTCTCAGGTCTCCTAGAAACCCTGAACAGAAGATCATTAAAAGAGTGATTGCTCTTGAAGGAGACATTATCAAGTAAGTATTTTAAGCTTTAGTCTCTAACTTCTTATAAGAGCATTTTGCTTTTCAGTGAATTTTAAATCAGTATCCTAGACAACGAGAACTTTCTAGTATTTTCTTGCTGTCTATTCTTAACAGGGATGTCTGTTGTACATGTCTGTTTTCTAAAGAAATAAGAAATGTTTCACACCTTGTTATGAAAATGACATGAGTAAATCATGCTTGCTGTCTATAGTATCTGGTTCCGTCTCACAAATCTATGGGAGCCAATTTGTATAAATTAGGGTTCCAGAGCTGTGGTTTTTCAAGTAGGAATGATACATCTCTGAAGAAAATAACTCATGAAAACAACTGTCCTGATTGCAGGATTTTCCAGGGAACTCACACTATGGGGGAATATGGTGAATCTCATCTGGAGTTAGTTACTCTTGTAGAGGGAGCAACATTGGAATGTGTTTGTTTTGAGGTATAAGTGTATGTGTGTGTGTCCATATATATTGTATATAAATATACAGATCCATGTTGCAGCCATATCCTGAATACTGTGTGCTGTTCTGGTCTCCGTATCTTAAAAAGGATGGTGTAGAATTAGAATGGTAAAGAGAAGGGCAACCAAGATGATAAGGGTTATGGAGCAGCTGCCATATCATGAGAGACTAAAGAGGCTAAGGCTCTTTAGTTTGGAAAGTAGAAGGCTGAGTGGGGATAGGGTAGAGGTCTATAAAGTCATGAAGGGTGTGAACAATGTAAATAGGGAAATGTTATTCACCAAGTCCCAGAATACTAGAATTTGGGGACACTCACTCACTGAAGGTAGCAGGAGATAGGTTTAAAACTAATAAGAGAAAGTACTTTTTACATAGCACAGCTAACTTGTGGACCTGATTACCACAGGATATTGTAGAGGCAGATTGTATAGCCAGGTTCAGAAAGTGACTAGACAAATTCATAGATCATATATCCGTTAATAACTATTAAATGGAACACTCAGTTGTATCCTCTGGCATTCCTAAACCAATCATGGTAGATGCTAGGGTGGATAATGAGTGAGGGATATACTTGGCTAGATGGACCTCTGGTCTGACTGAATATAGCACTTATGTTCTTAAGATATAGCACTTATGTTCAGGAATAAAATGCTGTAGCATTGAAACCAGAACGTTTTATTAAAACATTGATTTTTTTACTAGATTTTTCTCAAATGTAGAATGGATTTTACAGAAAGACGAAGAGAGACAGTGCAACCTAAAAATACCAATATCTGAAGTGTTCAGGCATATGCATAGAATGTGAGAAACCAAAATTCAAGTTCCTTATCTGCTTGATTCTCAGTCTGGCCCAGAGTGAATATATAATAAGTCCCAGATATTTTTGATTCAGAGTAGGGACTTGAATATAATGTACCACATCTCAGGTGAGTGTTCTAACCAGAGGACTGTTAGCTAGTTTAGGGCAGAGGAAGTATTGGTATTCTTCTTTTTCTTTCTCTGTTTTATTATAATTCATTTTTTAATTAAATTTTTCAAAAAGTCCCATTTTTGTCCCAGTTTAGAAGGTATATTTCACCTGAAGCAATTTACACTGGTAGAGGGAGTGATATTTAGACAATCTTTGTTTGGGTTTTCCTGGTAGTAGCATAGGACTTCCTAGTTTAAATTTTGAAATCTCAAAATTTTCCAGAATCCAACATCTTGTTTCCTGAGGCTTCCTCAGACTCTTCAACTATTCTAATTCTTTCCCTGTTCTAATTTGTTTCCATTTCATTGGGTGTCTAAACACATGCTACAGGGTCAAAGGAGTGGAGGGGGTGGCATTTTAGTTAGCGGCTCTGAGAGCTGCTCTAATTAAAGTGCCCACAGCATTGCATGTATTCAGCATCCCATGCTTCAAAATGGTGATGTGGGTACTTTAACTAAAGCTTGTTCAATGAGCTTTAGTTAAAGCACCCCTGCTGCCATTTTGAAATGCGGGGATGCTGAATATACGTGATGCGAAGCCTGCTGGAGTGCACTAATTATCATGCTTAAGCAGGCTTGTAGCTGACTCAATCTGCAGAGCTCCGTCATGTATATAGGTGCCCATTGATCTTCTAGTCCACATTGCAACTGCAGTTCTACCAGTGGGAAAGCATGTTGGTTAGGCAGCTGTTTTTCCATCTCATCCTCACCTAATGTTACTTAGTAGTATTGCTGTCTTTTCTACTTGTCCATTAGCCTGCTTCTTCAAAAATCGCTGTTAGAAAACTGCTGTTTAGTCTTAAATTTTTCAGGCCTTCTGGTTAGTGTGGAATGGATGAGGTTTATCTGTGAGAAGGATTGTTTTATACACAGTGCCTATGAAAATCCTTACCTTTCAGATCGGAATGCCAGGAGTCGACCTATACACCATGTCAGCCTATACACCGTGAAATATGGTAACTGTAATCAGAGAGCAGGGTGGAATACCTACTTGAATTTTGCTTTTATTTGTAGCTAGAATCATTACGTTTTGTAACACACATATGTATGTGTTTGTTGGGCAGGGATGATACACAGAGTACTATTTAAAGAGATCAGAAATCAGCATATCAGGGACTTGAAAAACCTACCAAAAAACTTTACCTTTATTAGCTAAAACTAATTCAGGACCTAGAAAACTTCTTATGAAAGGTGGGATGGGGAGGCGATTCTACTACATCTGTGGAATATTAAGCAGTGTTAAAGTTAGAACATTCTGTGAACAGTCACCCATTAAGTTTTAATACTGTTTTTTGCTTGCACATCTCTGACTTGCCACTAGAGGGCTAGTGAGCAGGGACATGGCAAGGAGCCAGGAAACCTGGGTTCTATCCCTGTTCTGGGTTGGACGGGGGTGGAGGAGGCTGGACGCGATGCATCCTGGGATGCTGGAGGACTACAAATTGCTTATTTTATCTCCATGGAGCAGACTGAAATTATCCTAACATAAGCTAGGTAGCCTGTTCCAGAGTTAACCCTTGCCTGAAGTGGTGTAACTTTGAGAAGCTTAGAGGGCACTTAGCATGAGTTAATGAGCTTTATTGTGCAGGTGCTTATGCTGTAAGTACCCTTAGTATGGCTTAAGTGTAACATGTGACTTCACCCTAAGACTTTACTTGGAAGGATTTATGTTATGTAATAAAAAGGCAACACATTTTTCCCAAAAAATTAAATTTAGAAAATATTTATTACTATCTATCTACCTATGAAATGTTTCAATAACAATCAGAGAGAGTGCAAATTTGCCATTTTTTTCCTAAAATGTGAGTTTGATTATTTACTGCAATGATATTACAAGTTATTATGGGACACAGGTGATTGGGTCAACAAAGTACGTATCAAAAACATAATAAAAAGATTTCCTTTTCTGTTTGACTAATTTGAAGACAAATATATTCAGAAACCAAGTGAAGTCCGTATTGAATCGTCTCAATGTATTGTTTATGTGTTCATTAATGTGTTGCATCAAATTATCTTTGGCCACCATGAAATGATATTCTGAGTTAAACTGAAAATAGATTGGAAAAGTTTGCAGAAAATATATTCATGAGAACTAAATTCATTTTCTTCTTAGCACGCTGAATAATTGCAGTGAAATCATTTGGAAGTCTAAAGTAGCAGAAAAAATATTGTACCACTGAAAATCAGTAAAACTATTTCCTGCTGATGTGTACATTGACCCCACACTTCAGTGTGATTTCTGAGGAGGGGCAAAATGAATGCTATCCACCATTGGTTAGAAAATCTGATTTTTTTTGTTCTCTTATTATGGACATGTAATAGAGCGGAAGTGCTTGATCTTGCAGGTATATGGGAGCATGCAAACTGCTTTTACTCCTAATTCTGGATCTTTAAAGCAGATGGTGTGCCTATGCACTATAGTGGCACATCTTTGAGCCCACTTTTAATGATTTCCCTTGTCACTCTACTTTTGATCAGAGTTGCTCCATGCACAGCTGGTTCATTACATGGAAAAGCTAATGCTCTCTTATTTTCTCTGAAAATGTAGGGCTGAAGTGTGCAAGCTTGTAGTAGAATAGGAACAGCAGCTCCCCTTCCCTCTTCCTTATCAAGCTTGAGGAGATGAATAATCCCCTGTTTCTAGTTAGGCCTTGGTGTGTGTGTGTACACACTGATAGTTGGGATGGTATGAGTGGATTATTCATTGTCAGAGAGTCTGTGGAGCATAGAGGACTATTGGTATGGGGGATAATTTTATGTGATGGTGTCATACGGCTTGGGGGTGGCTGTATAGGTATATCAGTTTGGCGGGGCATCTGGGTTAATTGTGAGGCTAAGTGTATGGTGTCTGTGTATGTGGTTCTATATGAGCTAACCTACAGCAGTTGTGGTGTTGTAAATAGAAAATAGATGTGTTGTTTAGGGGGCATAAATAATTGAAGGAGACAAAATTAAATGTTCTGTATTGTAAGGAATGCCCAAATTAATTGGTGTTGGATGTGGGAATGAATTGATCTGTGGTTTTCACGATGAGTCGACCTTCATTGATGAAATGATTTTCCTAATGACTGGGACCAATAAGAGATTTGCAATATTGCAAGTGAGCACTTAGCTAAGTACTACCATTTCTGAACTGAGTATTGGAGCATGGTGCTAAGTTCAAAGAATAGAGCATGCCTTGGGAAACATGGTAGGGAAGGGGCTGAGGCACAGGGCGTGGGTGGGGGGTGGCTCCTTCTCCACTGCAGACTGGGCAGCAGCTGCAGGGGCAATGTAAATTCCTCTGGGACCCCCTGAGCCACAACAGGGACAAGGGCTGTGGCTGAGATCTGTGCTACCCTGTAGCAGTGGCCCCAATCCTGGCACTGCAGAAGAAGTGAGAGCTGGGGTGGGAGTTGGGGCCAGCAGTATGATTCAGCTTGGCCCACTGGCACTCAGGTGCAGGAGAAGGAGTCCCCCTGGGATCAGTCAAGACAACCACCCCTGTGGCACTGCCCCTGACTATGAGCACCTTCCCCCAGCCCCATGGCCAGGCTGAGGGATGCCCTGCCCCATCCC